GGGAGAACTCTTGAACAAGACAGACCAGAGCCAGAAAGCAGAGGTAAGCAGCCAGCTAATGGAGGAGAGTCACCCAGTTAAGAAAAACTAGCTGTCAGAACCTCATTTTCAGTGCTGGCAGTTAACCTTCCATCAATTTTATGAGGCCAGGAAATAGCCATATTTTTAATTAAGTGTCCGTGGAAGGCTCAGAAACATTAAATTTAATGGGAGGGCAGACATCATCTTAAAGAAACAGTTGCTTACCTCTCCTTCTAAGAAAGAGATCTTTTCTAAAAGTTGCAGGATTAAGAGCTGCTTCTGTTGCACCTTTTTCTTTAAGGACTCGATCTGTGGAAAAACAGAGTAGAAATGGTCGGTCAAAAAGATTGACATGTAAGTAAATCAGCTGGAAGAGGTATTTTAAGTTTATTTAAATAGAAGTTACAGCTTGGTTTTCATTTTTATTTTTTAAACAATAAGAAGAATAAAGTTTGTATTGTCTTGGAGACAAATAGTATTAAGGTATGCGTTTACTACTTCCACAAGCTGGACGGTCGCAGTGGCTGCAACAATGGGCTCAAACATAAGAACAATTGTGAGGATGGCGCAGGACTGAGCAGTGTTTCCTCCTCTGACAGGTCCGGTCCTTGTCAGAACCACGCGGAGGGCCTGAAACAACAGTGCTGGTCACAGCTGATCAAACTTGCTTCTCAACTGCCCAGCCCTGGAGGACAATGCATGGGGTGCCAGGAGCCAGAGGGAGCCTCTGGTCTCACAGGACTCTGCCCTGGGTGTTTGTTGTTGTGTTTTAGAAGACCACAAAGGGTAATTATCTCCTCAAAGGGACCCTGAATCAGTCACGAGAACTGTCAGCATGAAAAAGCCAACCACAGAGGCAACCCCCTGCCGTCTGGAAAACCCACTGAGCACAGTGTTTCATCGGTGTGATCCAACGCTCCCTCCAGGCTACCCTACAGGGCTGCGGGGGAGCCTGTGCCAGGAGGCGAACACCTTGGGACCCGAGTCCCCAGGTTGTGTACCGGCAGGGTGCAAACTCCATGGAAACGGCTCCCGGGCCTTCACAATCCGAACACACCCAGAGACACTGGGGTCCTCTCCACCTGGAGAACTCGGCAGGTGAGCACACAGGTGGTTTCCTTGTGCTCTACCAAAGTGTACTGATCCAGGGTGCTTTGTACACCAGGACTCTCCGTCCAGGTAAACCTGGGTCATCAACAGGATTTCGGAGAGCTGCGGCTCATTAATGCTAAGCCGTTGTTTCCAGTATGACTTCACCCAGGTTTCCAGAAACTCTGCTTTGGGGGGGTGCAGAGACCACGCTGATGTAACCCTGATTCCATGTAAACTCACGAGCAGCTCAGCTCTGCACGATTTAGCACTGCTATCCCTGCTACTACGCTTGAGTTTATTGAACCAAGTGTTTAAACGTTTGGGCTTGGGAACCAATCAGAGGCTAATGGGAGACTTCAGTGGGGCAGGGACTCTTGTGGCCTGAAGTCAGCAGGGAAAGCTTCCCACAGAGGTGGGACTTGAATGGGCTGCTCCCTTTCAGCTTTTAATTCTATCTGGGATCCCTCTATCTTTGTTCTTCCTTCCAATATCGTCTCCCTAGACAAAGCAGGAAAGACTGGTCTCTGGAAAAGTCCATCATCTATGGTCAAGTGGAAGGTCAGAGAGCACGAGGGAAACATTCAGCGCGATGGATGAACATTACCGTCACTATCATGGACTCCAGCGTGCCTGCGGTCTAGAGGGTGGCCCCGGGCCCAGCAAGGTCTCCTTCTTCTATACACAAGGTCACGGTGCCTGGGAGACAACTCAACGGCAATGAGCCGCAGCAACAAAGACAAGCCGCAGGTTCCCTAAAATAGGAACTCTGTCCAGTACTCTGCGGGGACCCACCCGGGGCAACACTGGGACGTGTGTAAGTTCACGACATAACTGGTGACATTGAGAACATACTAATTTCCTATCAATCTAGCATACTGACTGTGAACATTCATAAAATCTATTTAGAAATCCCTCTCGGTACAAAATGGCACAATTCCTATGGAGAGGCACCTTCTCCCTTAAAAAATATTAACAACTGGGAAAAGAACATGGGCATTTTCTTTCTAGACCAGAACAGCATTCCCATTTCTAGAATAGATCCCAAGGATACACTAGTCAATAGAAGAAATGACTCAGATATGGGATTTTTCCTTTTCAGGAAAACTTACAAAACAAAACTCCATCCATGGCTGCTTAAACAAATCATGATGTCTCCTAACTTAATAATAAACTAATTATTAACAAATGGTTACTGGCGGAGGAGGAGGGTATTAGGTAGTGGAGAGAGAACAGAAGAATTTCTGACAATACCTTTGACACTGCTTAACTTTGAACACATTATTTTACAGATAAAAAAAATTAATAAACAAGAACAAAGTGAACCCCCAAACCTGAAAAACAACTAATATGAAGAAACGTAATTGTATGTTGAGGTAGTTAGTTAGTTTATTGTGCCAACCTGGCCGATAAACACATGTGGGGTTAATTGAAGGGTGGAGGGATAAATGGCTCAGTGAGCCTCGCCTTTCTAGTTCTCAGGTCTCTTGCTCTCTGATGGTCAGACCAGGGTGCAGCTGCCTTAGCCAGTTCCCTGCTTCAGCTACCTTCCTTGTACTCATTGCGCTTAAAATGACTAAAACGACCCACTTTATGAGGAAAAAGTTTTATGTGTAGAAAAATTCTGTAATTAAGACGTTAATAAATGGGGAAGCAATCATCCTTTCGCTGCTCCCGTGTAATAACTGGTTCAAGCTGCTGCCACCATCCATGGATGAAACAGGGAGGCAAACCACTGCGGAGGAATGTCACACTATCTAGTGTTGCTGCCGCAGCAATGCCACAAGTGGGTGGCTTACACAAACACCTCTCCTCTCAGAGATTGGCAAGCTCCAAGTCCAGATTCCAGGTGCCAGTTCCCGGGAAAGGTCATCTCTCCCCGTGGGCTCTGGAATGAAGTCTCTTTGAATTTTTGCTTCCGGGCAATCTTCATGTGGCTTGTTTACACGTTTATATCTCAAAAGAGACTGACTTAAAACACAGTAGATTAATCCTATCTCATTAACATAGCAAAAACAACCTATTCTCAACTGGGATTATAACCACAAATGCAGAGGTTAGGATTTAAAACATGTTTGTGTGTGTGGGAGGGTGGGGATACAATTCAACCCCTAAGAGGGAATTTAACAATTGTGTTAGTGGGCTTTCACCCCTGGACCAACAATCACCCTCAGGACCAACCGCGGTGGAACAGACATTCTGTGCCCCTGGAAGCACCACTCAGTTTGTAATCTTTTTTTTTTTTCAGTTTGTAATCTTATGGGGGGAAAAAAAAAGATTGAACCCAAATCTAAACACATGTCTAGAGCTGATAAGGAACCAGTCTAACCCAGAATATGGAACCTTTCACATGACAACTAGTCCCATTCCTGCATTAAGACAGGGGGAGGGATGGAAGTGGGAGAGGGGTGAGGTGGTAGGCTGGTGCCGGAGGAGGGGTGATGATATGTTTGGGGCTTTAGACACATAACAAACACACATCAACTTTGTACATTGTCTGGAACAAGCCATCAGTGAAAACATGGATGTAGGCCTTTTGGGAAATTTTTATTATTGACTGGTATTAAATGATACTGAGGAATCCAACCAGAATCTAATCCTTAATTGCACTAAGTATAGACTGATATTATAATTATATAAGAAGGATCTCATGTGTTTTAGAAGTGCCTATTGACATGGGGGGGGGACTGTATACAGATGAAAAAAGAAAGAGGAAATGAAGAGCTAGATGAAGCAAATATGGCCAATTCTTGCTATTGTTGAATCCAGGTCAGGAGTCTATGGGGCTGCATTGATTATTTTTTCTCTTCTAAGTGCATTTGACAATTTCATTATAAAATATTCTACATTCCACTGGATACCCCAAAATGCAATCTTCTGATATGGAAAGCACACCACAGGCAACACACTGGAGAAAGCATGTCTGATGCTTATAATAATGAAAGGGACATCTTAAAGCCAGTAATGAGATGCGCTTTAAAGTCTATTAAATTTACCTAAAACTATTGCCTAAAGAAAGCAGCATTGGCAGAGCTGGGGGAGGCAGCTACTCTCATGTACTGCAGGTGGCATTGTAAATTAGAATGACCCTTTGGGCAATTTAGCAATAAATATTAAGAGCCATAAAGCTGTTCATGCCCTTTGACCCATTAATCCCACTCTTGGGAATTAATCCTAAGGATATAACTCAAATGTAGCAAAAAAGCTACATATACAAAGATGTTCTCGCTCCTATTATTTATAATAGAGAGAAAATGGAAATAACCTTAATGTCTAGCACTAAAGGAATGAGCAATAAATTCTGGAATATCAATTTGATGGAGTATTTTACACAAACACCAAAAACAATTACACTGCAAAGTGGAAAAGTGTTTACAAAAAGCCACATGTTCAGGAAAACCGAAGGGCTACCAACAGCGAAGGGAAAGCTAGAAGTTGGACGAACCAAGATAAGGTTGGGGTGGCGGGAGACTTATAAGCCCCAAAAGAAAAGACTTGAAAAGAAAAAGGTTGTTTTGTTTATAAATCCTTTGGTTTTTGTAGGAATACGTTTTCAAAAATGATTCCCATGGTGGCCCTTTATCAAGCAGGCAAGGTAGTGGTGGCTGCATGTTGCAGGCGCTTCCTGTTGTCACGCTCTCTGAGAGTCTAGTTTCTTCGATTACTTGCTCACCATAAAGACTAACAGTATAGTGAAAGGATCCGCCCAGAGGTCCACACTCCCTAATTTTAAATCCCCTGTGCCTCTCAGTCTATGTACAGGCGCTCCAGGAATACAATGGGTTGCTCTGGAATTCCTGTTCTTGGTAATGCTGTCCATAATTTGTGATGATCCATAAAATAAAAGTAAACATCTTTCTGGGATTCTCAGCTCTCAGCCAGGGTCCGTCTGAGCCCAGCATTGATGGTTCTCACAACCGGTTCTCTTCTGAATCCGATTGGAGCCACCAGCAGCTCCCTTTTGATGTATTCCTGCAACCATTTTTGAATGATCTTCAGCATAATTGAACTTGTGTGCAATATTAATGATAGAGTTTGATCATTTCTGCACACTATTGGGTCACTTTTCTTTGGAATGGCCACAAACGTGGACCTCTTCCAGTCAGTTGTATCCATCTGGTGAAATGCGTACTGGAATTAATCAATATGTTCAGAGAAGGTCAGCACTAGGTAATATTTGGTAAACCCTGGGAGCTTTACCCTTTAGTGTTTATCAGAGT